GGAGCTGGGAACCCAGCAGTCTTGGTGTTGGCCCTACAGATGATGTTGCTTTAACCCATATTCCTGAGTTATATTCCCTAGCTCAGACTGACCTCAGGTAACACATCTATTTAAAATTTATACTTTATTTTTTCTTCACTTTTTTGTTTCTAATAATGTAATAAGTGGAACCAGGATATGGAAAAATTCATTCTCATATTGCTGATCTCAGCTTCTTACATTTTATTCTTTTGGGGTATGGATCAGCCTCACAGATTTATGAAAGCTGGCCTCACCACTTCTGGTGATCTGGCGGTGTCAACAGGTGGGGAGGTTTGCTTAGAATGAAGGAGAGGAGTTTAGGGAGTGAGAAAGAAGCAGCTGTTAGTTAAGTGCTCTTATTGTGCCAGATTCTTTATGTTCATTGACTCACTTAGCTCCTATAACTACTTGTAAAGTGGCTTTTTCCCCAGTTTTATAGATGAAAAAAATCAAGACTAAGTGTGTTGCTTGGGATCACATAGTTTGTAAGGACTGTAGCTGAGTTTCACTCCAGAATTGTCTCTTGCTCTTTCAGGGATAGATTTGGAATTTTTTTTCCTGCCTTTCCTTGAACCATTACCCTATGAGTCTTAATTAAGCCAAGCTAATTTCTCATAACCTTCTCACTGGGTCGGTGAAAGGCTGTGAGATTGAACATAGCTAAGATAGGATTTGGAGACAAAGCTCAGACTGTGATTTCTATGCCACATTTTATGGCATAGAAGAGGACCTGGGAACCTCAGAACTATTACCCTCCAGGGGATCTGTTTTGTCTCCTGAGAAAGGATTGAGACATTTAGGAAAAGAAGGAGACTGAAATGAGCTAAAAGCCACAATCTCATTCCTCTAGTGTTCCTTTCTTCCTGATGTGGGGTTTAATTTTCAAGACATAGAATCATAACCTATAATATTAAATGTAGGCAGGAAGCACTTTTTTTAACTGTTTATTTTTTAAAAATAATACATGCACATGGAGCAATATCTAAATAGTACAAAAGGAACTATGGTGAAAAGTGAGTGCTGGCTTTGTCCCTGCTGGGTGAGGTTGCAGCTTTCTTCCAGTCTGAAAAGTCATTCACCACTCAGTCTGGCTGCAGCATTTGTGGTTGCATCTCTTAATTTCTGTTGCCTCCTCTTTGGTTCTTTTTGCTTGTTTAGGGTGTGTGTGTGTGTGTGTGTGTGTGTGTGTGTGTGTGTGTGTGTAGGTGTGCACGTGCACATGCACATATGCATGTGTGTGAATTTCATTATAAATGTAGTGACATTCAGAGGAGAGGCAGAAATAAAGGCGCTAATATAAAACACAAGTTTAACTGAATTTTTATCTTTAGAAATCCTTTTCTTTGGCCTTTTCCCTCCTTTTCTAACTTCTTGAGTTCAGTTCTTATCTCATTTATTTTTATTCTTTCTTTGTGGCAAAGAAAGAAGAAAATACCGAAGGCAGGACTTTTTTCCTGAAAACCATTTTAGCAATACCATGTCTCCTTTATCACTATTTTCAAGAGCCCATACAGTGTGACAACTTCTGTTATCGATAGCTGTTTAAGAAACACCTTTAAAATTTTAAGTGGATGGGTTTTTTTATTTTGTCCTTTTCAAAATACATTTTTTTCACATTATAGGTACAAAACATTGCTTTCTCTGAGTAAGTCCACTAGTGAGGCACCTTAGGATTTCAGATATTTGAACATAACATGACTAACAACTGTTGGCTCTAGCGCTTGTCCCAGCTCCAGTTTTCCACTGGAGCGAGCTTGTATTTTTATCATCTATAGAGTAAAGGCCTAGGAAGTAGCCACCTCATAATTCTTTAATATTTTCTAGGTTCAGGATATGGCAAATTCTGAAACATTGGAAGTTTACTGTCTTTGTGACAATGCAGACCCAAATATAGTTTTTCATTGATCTTACAATAATAATGTGATTCTCACATTTTGAAATTAAAAATTTTTATTTTGGCATTCAATCTCCTTCCTTTGTTGATTTTTGAAATCCAGTATTGTTATCAGGGTATGTCCTATTGATGACAGTTCTTCGTCTTTTTGCTTCTAAGACATAGTACATCACTTCTTAGACAAATTATAGAAAGTTTATGGAGCCTCTTCTTTTGGGACAAGGGTACCAATTATTTATGTGTTGGATTTTCTTTATCAGTCTTTCATTATCTATCATTACCTATTATTTCCTCTGTTGTCCTTTTCAGTTCTTTGTTCATTTCATTTTTATTACTTTTTAAATAGTATTTTTCATGGCCTTTATTAGGTATGTGTAAGTGTCTATTCTCTATTTTGCTACCTCTAATGTGGCCTTCATTTCTGAGACAGTGTTTTAAATTTTTCACTTATTTCCTGATCTCTGCTAGCTTAGGTTTCAGCTTTCCCTGTTTTCCTGACACATTTCCCTGTACTTTTTTAAATTAATTATGTGGACCTTTTTTATAAATAGAAGCAGTGTCATGGTAAGATTTCTTAATGTGTGTGTGGCTGTATATAGTCATTCTTTTATTTTTCTTTTAATTCGCTTGTATTGTTTTCCAGTGGGTGTTCGTTTGCTTCATTCTTTTTTCTTTTAATTGTATAGAGCAGTACCTCCTCCTTCTCCCCCTTTTCCTCCTCCTCCTCCTCATTTTTCATTTTTGAACCAGGTGAGTTCAGGCTAGGAGAAATTCTCCTTACAAGAGAGAATTGTATGTATAATTTAGTTATTAGCCTCTACATGTTCTCATTTGTCAGAGGCAGCAGCTAAAGGGCTGCCCACAATACAGAGAGTCTCTTCTCCCCTGGCACGCATCTCCAACTCCCCACTCAGCCTTCTGCCTCGCTCCTCATTTCTTGTTTTTCTCTTTTGAGATGGAGTCTTTCGCTGTTGCCCAGGCTGGAGAGCACTGGCAAGATCTTGGCTCATGCAACCTCCACCTCCTGGGTTCAAGCCATTCTCCTGCCTCGGCCTCCTGAGTAGCTGGGAGTACAGGAGTGTACCACCATGCTCGGCTAATTTTTGTATTTTTAGGAGAGACAGGGTTTCACCATGTTCGCCAAGCTGGTCTTGAACTCCTGAACTCAAATGATCCATCTGCCTCAGCCTCCCAAAGTGCTGGTATTACAGGCGTGAGCCACCGCACACGGCCCTGCCTTGCTCTTCTTTATAGCCAACCAGAACTGAAACAACTCCTGCCATCAGCATCAGCCCTTTCCCGTGGCTATAAATGAGAGTGTGTGATGTGAGGGTTACTTTGAAAGAATAGTGTTCTCCTGTCTGAGTCTGAAATTTGCAGCTACAGGCATTCTATATATATATCTTCCAACACTCCTATTTGACCTTCACTGTATTTGGCAGTCTTTTCTCAGGTATTATTGATTTTCCAGGTATTACTACTTTCTATAGGAATGGAATGTGCATTTTTTAAAAAAATCCTCCTAATTGCTTTTGGGTGATCATGCCAGGAGAAGAGGCATGTACTGTCCTGTCTTCTGTCTTATAAATTGGAGGTAAAAATGGAGCTTAAATCAAATAATTAACAAGGTGTATCGTTACATACTCAGAGGTAAGTAAGGATGAGCTAGACATTCTTTCTCTTCTTAGTAATCTTACAATTTATTAAAGTGGCCAAGAAATGCAAATATGGATGGAAAACTAACCCAATAATAGGCAACATATGAGTTCTACCTAAAGGGACAATAAGAGTTTGGGAATTTGGACCAGGTAAAAGTGGCTGAGGTCTGCCGTGGTCACGCATGAAAGTTACTCTCCATTTCCTGCTTCACTGCCCTGGAGGAGGCTGCCAGAGGTCAGAACAAGCCTGGCTCTTCCCACCTCCACCCCCTGCCTTTCTGTCCAAGGCAGCAGCCACTACAGATGGTGAAAGAGAATCCCCCTTTGAGAGAAAAAGGTAGAGCAACATGTTTTCATGAAGTGTTTCCCAAATAATGCTTGGCCCTGAGAATCACCTGGAAAGATGATCACGATGGACACAGGATCTCCAGAGAAGACCTGGGATTTGTATCATTCACAAGGGCCCAGAGTAATTTGGATAATCAGGCAATTTTGGAAATCCCTAGCCTAGGAGATAGAGCACTACGCTGGAAGGGAAGAGACCTGTATTTTGTTTCTGGCTTTGCTGCTAACTAGGTGTAGAATTTGGATAAGTTTCAACATATCTGAGCCTCAATTTTCTTGTCTATAAAAGGAGGGAGCTTGGCTTGGTGGTGTCTAAAAATCACTTCCAACTTTAATATTTCATGATTTTCTAAAACATACAGCATTTTTATAAAATTCTATAACTTCCTTATAAAAAGGAAAGGGAGAGAAGAAGGATTAGGGACAAGGGACTAAGGAAAGGAAATAGAGTTTTTCCTTATAGACAAAAGGAATGGAATGAAGCCCTTTCTCCCGCTATGTCTGAAAAAAAGAACTTTTCAGAGCAGAGTTTCAGTAAAATTTCAGTTAAAAACAAAATTGCATCTCTTTACCGACCCAGAAACCAAAAGTGCACATATGTTAGACATGGTTTGTACTGATTATTCTGGAATGAGCTATGCATTCATAGAACATTGATTTTCTCAATAGAAATCATAAAGCACCAATAGTATTATTTTCCCTCCCAGTGTTTGTATATGCCAAAGGTAAGGGAAAGTCTTCCCTTGGTTGTTTTTTTGTAAGAATGACCTTTTTCTTACTTCAGGAGTTTGATTGGCAGGTCCCTACTAAGGAGGAAAAATGAATTTCAAAGCAGACCTAAAAAAAAAAACATTTTTTTTTCTCCTGCTCTCTCTTGGCTTTTGTTGCTCCAGGTGTTACAGAAAAAGCACATTCCTCAACTGGTCTAGTCCCCAATAATGGTATTAAGATCCCCAAGCACATCTGATATCTCTCTTCCAGGGTCTAGGGAGCACCATTCATTTATTGATGCACCAGTCACAAAGGGATCGCATTTTGCTTTGTTTGAAGGCCCTGAGTGTCCTTATTATTTTTGTTTGTAGAAACACTGGGGTACACCTGAAAGGGGGAACAGGCAGACATGAAGAAGAAAACAACCCTGGCGTCCGGGTGCTGATTGCCTTTTTTATTCGCTTGAAAAGCCTCTCAGTGGATTGATTTGTGATTTGGATACCACTTCTCCAGCTCGGGACTCTGAAGTCTGTGCTTGTCGTACACTTCAGACAGTCAGCAGCCTGCTCATAGGTGAGTGATTATGAGGGGGATACTAATTGGTTTGTTCCACCACCTTTTCCTTCGAAGTGTAGCAGGCTTGCAATTTTCAATGGCCATAGGGAACAGGAACAGCATGCATAAGTGGAATCCACAAAAAATAAAACGGCTTTACTGAATCGTCTCCAGATTCTCCTGGATCAAAAGTGGACTAATTCTAAAAGTGGGGACCAGCCAAAGTTGGGGTGAGAGGTGCAGTGGACAGAGGCGCAGGACCCTAGGGCTACTGTGCCACGTATTTATTGTCAGAACTGAAGGCGAGAGGCTGGGGAAGGCTGCGTTGCTCAGCCTGAGCTGTGTGATATCGATGTTTTGGACCAACTGGGAAAGGTCCTATTTGGGAGGAAATTACACATCTGGAAAACTCAACTTGCTGCAAAAGCTATGGGCCTTTCCTAATCGAGCCCTGAGGAGCATGAACAATCACTGTCACCAATCAATTGCACTTCATCACAAAGGAAAATTATCATGCAACCGTGGAGCATTTTTGTCAAAACAATAGATAACAAGCTTTGAGAGCAAAGCACAGCGGGGAGAAGAGATGGGTGGCATGAGACCACCATTCAGACACGGGTGTGGGTTACAGTAGGAGAAACAGTCATGAGTTATAAATGACCCACAGGAAGAGTGGATTACTGCACAGGCAGATAACTGGGGACACCGCACATAAGATAAATTACAGTTAGTATTGTCCAAATTGACTTTGTCAACTTCATAGCCCCTCTTCCACTCCCATGATAAAACGAAGCCCCATAAAAAAGGCCTGGTTCTGGGGATCAGGGCCTTTGGGATTTTTGATATGCCTCTTGTTCACACCACACCCCAACATTGGCTGGTTTCTCTGGTCCCAGACCCCCTTCCTCAGCATCTGTGAGTGTCTCGCGTTTCTGCCCAGCCCACTGTGCACTGAGTCTTTGTCTGAACTGTTTTGGGTTTCCTAATTCTTTCCTCTGCCTGTGTTCTCCAGTTCTGTCTTTGTCCTAAGCCCCATCCCCACAGGACAGCCCTGAGGTAGCACCTCGGAGCTTCTGCTTGCCAGAAAGTTTTGCCTTTGTCAGGACAAGCAGACTCTACAACAGGCGGTAAAATGTGGAAAGACTTATATTAATGGCACTGCTTTGGACAAATGTTGTGAACTCCAGGCTTCAAGGAATCATATGGAACCAAGGCCGACTTCATTCACCCTCCTCCCGCCACGGTTGCATGTGGCCTCTGCTTGTTTATCAGAGGAAGTTTCACAGCAGGGAATAAATTTAGGGTCACATGGACCCAGGACTGAATCCTTACTAGCTGTCTCTTCTGGCAAATCCTTCACCATCCCTGCACCCAGCTTTCTTATGGGTTCGTGGTAAGGGAGGAGTGTAGGTGCTAATAGTCACACCACCTGGGGAGTATGTGATGATGAATGTTGTCAGCTCTCAAAAAAAAAAGTCATTTTTTATTATTCAGCCAGAAAATATTCCAGTCACTGAGGATATAAGAAGGAGTGATATGATTCCTTTCCAGACAGCTTCCTGTTTTCTCAGGCACCTGCCCTTTGTACTTGGCTCACATGGAAGCAGTCATTGCCTATCTGTGAAAATCCCTGTTGCCCTTCAACTGTGGCCGAACCTGTTGTAGTAAGCCTGTGCTGAAGGATGACCTCTTCGACACACTCCAACAGCTCCTACTCAAATATTGCAGAGCACCGTCAGAGAAGCTCTGTCTCTGTCTTTCTCTCTCTCTGTAACACACACACACGTGCTCACACCGCTTCCCCCAGTCTGCTCACAGCCTTCGTCGCCCCCAGTTAAATTCCTGTGTGCCTCCCCCACAGCTGTTACACATATTTTCCACAGCCAGTTCCTCAGCCTCACCCTGACTTTCTCCCACCAGCAGATGACCCTACTCTTCGGGTTTCTGATAAAATTTCTCACTAAATCCTCTAGGGTCTCAGTTTTCTCAGGACCATTTATAGACCCCATGTTTCTAACATCTGTGAATTAGACACATTCCATTTGTTGTAGCTTCAGAACCCCTTTCTGTTCTCCCCTGCACACCAGTGTTTCCTGGTGCCTCCATGCATTTCCTCCTCCCCGGCCCCTGGAGAGAAATAGGCTTCCTCTTTCCTATCGGGTGAGTCTTCCTACGTGGAGCTCCGTGAGCCTTCCACTCCCACCCTCTGCATTCTCATTGAGATGGCATCTCACTCATGGCCTGCTTCCGTGCCTTGTTCCTTCAGCCCCTCTCCCTCCACACCTTGTCTACAGACATGCCCAAGCCTTGCCAGACAGAATTGAGCCACATCACACACACACACACACACACACACACACACACACACAGCAATTGCATCTCTTTACTGGCCCAGAAACCAAAAGTGCACATATGTTAGACATAGTTTGTATTGATTATTCTGGAATGAGCTATGCATTCATAGAACATTGATTTTCTCAATAGAAATCATAAAGCACTAATAGTATTATTTTCCCTCACCTTTGGCTTTATTTTTACCCTGTGATGCTGTTATACTTCCATTCTAGCTTTTCCTTCAACTCCGTACACAAACTTATTGAAAAATATTTCCAAGCATATGCATTTTATCAACTCATATGTAGTTGGTAAATACATATTTGTGTATATATAAAAGGTATAATAAAACTAAAAATCTTAAGCAAATTGCAAAATATTTTGCTAATATCCATTTCCTTAGAATTTTCTTCTTAATATCTATTTTCTACTTTCACCATTTCAATAAAATATGTCTACCCAAAACTACCAAAGTCTAACTGTAAAACCTAATGGTATTTTGTGGGTTTCTCATTCACTGAAGTTCTCACCCTCACCTGTCTGCTGCTCAACTTTAAATTAAAACTTTATAATCTGTCTAGTACAATTTGCCACATTCTTGATCTAACCCAGGGATGGCCAAACTTTTTCTGCAAAGGGCCAGATAGTAAACATTTTCAGCTTTGAGGACCATATGGTTACTGTTACAACCACTCAACTCTTCCAGGTGGCAGGAAAGCAGCCATAAACAATATGCAAAAAAAAAAAAAAAAAAAAAAAAGGCTTGCTCCAATACAACTTTATTTACAAAAACAGACAGTGACTTACAGGCTACAGATTGCAGACCCCTGGTCTGATTGAATTTTAGCTCCTCTTCTTCCACATCTACCATTTCCAACGGGCTGAAAAAATGGTGCCCTAGAGATATCCATGTTCTCATCTCTGAAATGTGTACATGTTAACTCATATGATTAAAGAAAACAGAAGTTCTTTGCAGGTGTGATTATGTTAAGGGTCTTGAGATGGGGAGATTATTCTGAATTATCCAGGTAGGTCCTAAATGCAGTCACTTTCATATCCTTTTAAGACAGAGGGAAAGGGGGTCGGGCGCGGTGGCTCAAGCCTGTAATCCCAGCACTTTGGGAGGCTGAGGCAGGCGGATCACAAGGTCAGGAGATCGAGACCATCCTGGCTAACACGGTGAAACCCCGTCTCTACTAAAAATACAAAAAATTAGCCGGGCCTGGTGGCGGGCGCCTGTAGTTCCAGCTACTGGGGAGGCTGAGGCAGGAGAATGGCGTGAACCCGGGAGGCGGAGCTTGCAGTGAGCCGAGATCGCACCACTGCTCTCCAGCCTGGGTGGCAGAGAGGGATCTGTCTCAAAAAAAAAAAAAAAAAAAAAAAAAAGAGAGGGAAAGGGAGAGTTGTTGATGCCCACACAGGAGAGGAGAAGGCAATGGGGCCAAGGAGGAAGACGTTGGGATGACAAGTCTACAATGCAAGAAACGCCAGCATCACCAGGAATTGGAAGAGGTGAGCAAAGGAGTCTTTCGTAGGGCATCCAGATGAAGCCCAGCTCTGGTGTGGGCTTGATTTCAACTCCATAAGACTCATATCAAATGTCTGGATTCCAGAACTGTAAGAGAGTAAATTGACATTGTTTTAAGTCATGAAATTTGTGGCTCTGGGAAACTTACCCCTTTGCTACTTATGACTATTGTCTCACTTTTTAAAAATTTTTTATAAAATTTATTTATTTCCTAGATGGACTTTATCTCTTATTGAAAAATGAACAAAATACATATAATCATGCATTTAAGACATGGAAAGACAAATCAACATCTTAAAGTATACCAAGACAAACTTCAGGAGACAAACATTAAATATATCCAAAAAGTAATCGGACCCGGACTTTGCTTACAAATTGTTTAAATGGCAATGGAATTCGTGTTTAAGAAATGTTTTCACTGATGGAAGAATAAATCTAACAAAACCATTATGTAAAAACATAGATTTACAAAGCCATTGTGTCTCTTAGTTTTAATTTTTATGTATATCCTACATGACGTTCATATTAAATGAAAATAAAGTTTTAAAAGTCTATCAGTGTATAAAAAAGAAATTCAGTTGCTCAAGTACTAGTTAGAACTTCATATTCATCTTTCTCCTTTGAGGTGCTGCTCGCAGGTTACACCCTCATGTACTTTTTCTTTGCATTGTCAACGACCAAACTCTTGGACATGCCCTCAAGTCACTGTGGACTTCAGCTTCTGAGTCATGTTTTTCCATCCTAAATCCAGTCATTGTCTTGTGATTTTAACACCAAAGAGGAAGTTCACCCAGTTAAGACCTTCTATCCAAGTTCCTTGATTAGAATCCAACAAACTTGGTCTTCGCTTGACTGTGTTTCAGAAATCCACTTCCGTGACTGCATTCTTGGCCTTGGTGCCACTCTTAAAATTATTACACATTTGGAATATTCAGCTGAAACACAAAAATCTCTGGTTTGCCCTGCCTGTTCCTCTACCTCCCACTGTCTTCCTCCCAGGACTCCAGAACTGTGGACTTCATTCATCAGTCCCTTGTCTCATTTCCTCCCTGTCCTCCCCTCCTGGCTTCAGTTCCTCCACAGATGAACCCCAGGGAGAAGCACTCCCACCTTTCTTCTGTGGGTCCTTCAATTCTCTTGCCCCCTTGTCCTTCCA